CTTTATCCATCTTGATTATTTAGTAATTTTTCAATATTATCTCTTATTAATTTAGTTTTCTCAATTTAACACAATAATACCGATGCGACACATCTATCAGGTTTTTTTTTTATAGAAATGTATTATTAACTTAGGCTGATCATGACCTGGACCGGATGATTTCAATAGTTTCGGCATTAATATCTCAATTTTCTCCCCCAGGTTATGAATATTCCTATCCCTATTTTTGAAATAGTTTGTGTCCTATGTGCTGTGCTAGGAGTAAGTAGTATTAAGTATAAAGATATAATAAGTAAGATAAAAGAGATTACCAGTCCCACGTATGACAATATCTAGCAATATCTAGGAAATGTAAGATGAAGTTTATAAACACCCTTTAAAAACGATTTATCAAGTGATCCTCTGTATTCTTTGACAAAATATTCAACACGATCTAAAAGTAACTACTCTAAGAGTAACTTTAGCCTTTAACAAAATGTTCATTTAAAAATTCAATGATATGGTTACAGAAGAACTTATTAAATCTATATTATTAACTTTACAGAACATCCACCATTTTCAATCGTCTACCTTCATACGATATCCTGATAAGACGTCTATAACCAGGGTAAGACTCGGCCACAGGAGTTATTTTTCAGTAGGGTACTATTAAAATCTTTATAAAATGGTATATAATGGTTTTGTAAAATACTTATAAGAGTTATTGCCTATAAAAATGTTTTATCACTATTTTATGCAATCACAATATGACATTAAAAACATAAATTTGTTTTATAAATTTGGACATTTTTCGTATTTATAGATGCTGTATAACAGTTTACAACATAATTTTAAAATACATTAGATATTTTAAAAATTGTTCATTCTTTTATATAATCGTTATAAGCAGATTTGGACTACTTGGATTATAGAACACAATCAGTCAAATACAGCATGACAGAAGTGACAAAGTATTAACTAATTTGTAGTAAGCTTTAAAACACAATATGCCAAACAAGTAACTATGGTTGAATACCGAAATAATAGAGAGTAATTTAATGTATGAATAATGCTGTCATATGTCATTGCGCCAAAGTTTGGAGAAATTTTTGGAGGTTATGGGACAAGGATTTTTTTCAGTGGTGGGCATATATATGGCTCCTGTCAGCATTCTTCACACATTCTTGGCATTAAATTACTGTCTATTATTACTAAAATGTCAAAAACAGTTAGTACTGTTATCGGGACAAAAAATCTGACTAATCAATTATAAAATAATTGTATATTGTATAGTATCAACTTTTCTGAGTTGTCTGTAAATCAAATAAAATATAGAAATATGTAAATTATTATAAAAATTCCCTCAAGTATCTCATATACCCCCGACACGGGCCCTATTAATCTACTCAGTCTCCAGACGACACGACGAACGCGAAGCAGACAAAAGAAGAGATCTAAAAACAAACGCACTCGCTACGACTTCGTCGTCGTCGATATACGGAAAAGAGCGCGCGCGGGCGTCCCGACGCATCAACCACGTCCACGACGCTTATTGGCAGTCTTCGGTGCAGAAGCGATCCACGCCATGGCGCACTACGATTAGCAATTGCTATGGAAACAAGCTGATAATACGATCAGGGGGTGACAAACCTGGCTCCACTCCACTCTCCGCTTTTTCCAAACCTTTCTCCCCCGCACCTCCACTTCCTCCTCGTTCTCCGCCTACAGCGTTGCTCTGGTTTGCATTTTAAACGTGTTTTACTGCAGTCAAAGGGGTGTAAGGGGATAGCAATTAAAAGCGGCTTTGGAGGACCAGAGATAGACTTTTGTTGAGTTTTAACCTTTTTGATTGTTACCGATTATGCTTACGGGAAAATTGGGATTTTGCCGGTTTTTATTTAAATATCCAACATCTGACGCAAGCGGTCGGAAATCGTAACCGAAGAATAATGTTTTTAGAGCTGCGGTGTCGATGTAATTTGGCGCAGTAGTAGGATTTTTATTCTTATATTTTTCAGTATGCTTTCTTAACAATATTAATCTACTATATTTCTACCTATATTATCCTCATTGTCTTGATACGTGGTCCTACATCTCAATTTATTTATTTTATGACAGGATTAATTATAGCAATAACATGATTAATTACAACAATAAATAAATTATAAATTAATCATAGGTAAATAAGTTAGCACCTAGGTGTGGGCACCTGTATGTGCTAGACAGACTAAAAAACTAATACATAAAGATTAAAAAACTAAAATATAAAGTTAATGTATTTTTATATAAATGTTAAATGTAATAAGGCAGCAGTGTTATATTATATAATATGTAATAATGTTATAATCTTGTAATCTACAGGGTTCCAACATATTACAGTGAGATGTGTGTTATTCTAAGAAGAATCTATACAATTTTGAGTAGTTTTGGTAGATGAAGGATTTGCACGCTTTCTTAAATAAATGTTGTTTGTTAATTAATTTGATCTCAGGAGGTAAAGCATTGTAACACTTTGGTCCTAAGTAATTTATACAATTTTTAAAAGATTCACTATTAGGCATAGATATTTTAATATTCAAGTTACTAAAAGTTCTGGTTTTGTGTTGATGACCCAGAGGTTTTTTTAGTACCTCATGTTTTTGTATGTAACAGCATATTGTGTTCATGTATAAACTTCTAACATTAGATATTGTTTCATTATATAGTAGAATAGTAGGATATAATCGCTGTTTGTTGAAGATAATTTTCAGTATTTTATTTTGTATGACATTTAGTGGTCTAAGGGTTGTTTCATATAGGCCTCCCCATACTAGTATACCATAACGTAGAATAGATTCTACCAAGCTAAAATATAGGCTTATTAAGAGATTTTGGTTAAGAAATTGTTTTAAAAGATAAAATTTATAGATTATAAATCTAAGCTTTTTTGATATATATGCTATATGAGAGTCCCATTTTAAATGTTGGTCTATAATTATACCCAAGTATTTAGTAGTTTCTGTTTCTTGTATTTTCTTATTTTACCTCTATTTTATGTCTTACGAGAATAATTCGACAAGTACTATCTGTATTATTTTTATAGTTGTCACTGTAAAGCACATTTTTGGTAAACATAGATATAAGAACCTATTCGCTCTGTGCGCGACAGCAGCGCCAATTTGTTTTGGTAATTTATAAGTTTCACTGTATTTTTTTCTAGTATTTGTACAATTTTCAACACAGCAACTCCGGTTGCTTATTGTATTGTTTTTACTTAGTTTTTTGAAAAAAAGTAAAATGTATACGTTTATTTGATATGCCAAAATTACAAAATATCGCCCTAAAATGCACGAATTATCCGCAGCTAGCGCTAGTATCGCTTTTGCTTCTCTTTCCATGACTTCGCACGGAGCGAATTAAACGTTGACAGTATGTATATTTCGTATCCATATGTCAGCAGGGGCTCTATTAAAACCACACACTTTATCTTGGACGATTTTATCAGATACAAGTTTTTTGTTTAAGGCTTCTTATTTTATATTTTCTCCAATATATTCTTTCAGCTATCCTCATTGGTCATTTTAATTAATTCAATTTGAAAGAATACTCAATTATTATTAAAATATATTTGACCTATTCAATTAAAATCTGCTTCTACATTAAAATTTTGCAATTAAATAACTAAGCAATTACATACTTAGTGTGGCGATTGAACAATATTCCGAAATACAGCCTTGTAACTTTAATTCTATTGTATGATAATATTTTGAGTCGAAAATTAACTATTTAGGAACATTTTACATAATTTTACCATTGCTGGTACCATTAACAATACACAGTCTTTAAGTCATGTTGACCTTACATTCAAATTTCCTAATAAAGCAAACAATATTTTATTTAAAAAAGAAACATTATTCCAACCCAATTGAGACCAAGACGTAAAGCTATATCTCACAAAATAGAAGCAACCGTTTCCCTTCGGAAAACAACTACTCCTTTGGCTAATACCTCAACAGGTATTGAGTTATATCCAAAGGAAAGACAGCAGATATATAAATAAAATTTCAACACTCTTTGATTTTGCTCACGTAGGAGGACGTCATTCTTGGACCGATTTTGTCCTTATTAGAACTCTTCAGCAAGCAATAGATGGTTCTCATTTCCAGTCTCTAATGGCATAAATGAAGGCAATACATTCACTATGCTCTGTTTTCAAACTAGGAGGAGCGATTTGAATTTAAGTTGGCAATTCTGTAGACTTCTGATTGATCAGATTGCAGTCAGTTTCACACATCACTTTTTACAATTAACATCGCAGCTAATTCAATTATTGTCAACTATTGATATTCAAGGGAGTAGTTGTTTTTCGAAGGGAAAGGGTCGATCCTATTTTGTGACATGGCTTTTGATATTATTTATTTTATTTTACGTCTTGGTCACATTTGAGTTTATTAATAATTGAAAATTGTCAGCCTGGTTTTGTGGTTCCACTTAGTTTTTACGAAACTACAAGCGACCTTTGATTTTGTTTACTAGAAACAGATGGCGACACTATTTTCATTACTTGAATTCTTATTCTCTTCGTAACTAACACTATTGTATACTAGTGAATGTGCTGCCTTCGTTAAGTCTAATAGAGACTGGAATTGAGAACCATCTATTTCTTACTGAAGAGTCCAAATAAGAAGGACGAAATGAGTTATACTTTAGTATTTTATTTCTTAAAAAAAGACACCTGCAATCCTATAAACTTGCGTAAAATATTAATTGATAAAATATTGTAACTAGAATATTACACTAATTTACATTGCTAATATTTATGTGAACAAAACGGCATCTTAACTAAAATTTAACTGTAATATCAAAACTAGACTATTAATATACAATATGTAGCTTCTAGAATATTCCACTATTTTCTACACCGCAGCATCCACCAGTCTCTCTAGGTGCCTTGTCATCATTCCAGTATAATCTAGATGGGCATGGCCATATACCTTTCTTCCTTTGATTTTCACTAATCCTTTATTTTATATTTGTTACAGATACGGCATGGATCTCAACGGTGCTAGGCGGAAAAACGCCACACGCGAAACCACGAGCACCCTCAAAGCGTGGCTCAACGAGCACAAGAAGAACCCCTATCCCACCAAAGGAGAGAAGATCATGTTGGCGATAATCACCAAAATGACCTTGACGCAAGTGTCGACGTGGTTCGCGAACGCAAGGCGACGACTGAAGAAGGAGAACAAGATGACGTGGGAACCGAGGAATAGGGTGGAAGACGACGATAATAATAATGACGATGATGATCATGATCACAAGAGTACCGATGGAAAAGATATTATTGGTGAGTGTTTTTATCATATGTAAAATGCCAGGTGATAATAATACTAGTGTTCATTGTGGTTCAATGATACAATTTGGTACACTAGAGGAGAATTTAGAATTTTCCTCATAAAGATTTAATTAGATTCCATTGCGGTACTCAAGTGTTGCCAGATGAACATTTTGTAGAACAGTAAATTGGTGGAAAAACAAAAAAAATGCAGATTATTTTTATTTAATAAAAATAACCAAATTCATTTCATATCCTTTAAGTTGTATATACCTAGCCTTGTTTTCTGTTAAATTTTGTTCTATTAGGAACACCTGAAGCTTTTCTCAATGGTCAAGGAGTCGTCCATTGACATTCCACGCTACAATGATTAAGTATTTACCCTCCATTAAGGATGTCAAGTCATGATTTGGTTCGTTGAAGATTTGTTTTCAGTTTGATTAGGTCTGGTATTGGTGAAATTTAAACGATTTGATTACGAACGCGTTGTTTACATGTGTGTTTTTTAAAATCTTTTAACTCAATTCATATTATAGACCTCCGTCTCAGTCTTGGTGCTTTTAGAAAGCTTATACTGAAGCCATATAATCCTGCATAATCTCTTTTGTTTATGCAAATATGTATCTAAATCTATCGTCAATCACATCTATACAGTCAGTTTCACAAATTCTTAGGAAAGCAATTTTTATTCCTCCCTAGAAAAACATGAAATTCCCAAGGATCTTCTAAGACAGGCATATTTAGATCTAATTCACACATGCTTTTTCAACAAAAATCTTTACAGACACTTAAAAAAATTAACTACTACTCTCACTACTATTAAAACTTCTCTGCTTTCGTCTATATGTAGTGAATTGTATGGATTCCTCAAATATTCATGTCTATAACTCAAGAAGATACACATGTGGCAATTTGTGAAGGTTCTTTAGCGTCTATTCAATCCATACAAAATCTCAATATTCTAATCATTCGTCAGTAAAAAATATCCATGATATTTACAACTCTTTGATTTTATTTGTATTTCTTAACATATAGGAATTCAGGGCAACGAGATGGTAGAGGTTCCTTATTAGAAGATGTAGGTACAAATATACAAAGATCTAAAAAGAGAAGATACAAAAATCCATTTTTGAATCATGTCAACATCACTAATGCATGTTCAAAACTAAATTACATAAAATTCAGCCTATGATCACCATTTATGAATCAACTCATAGGCTAAGACAAGAGAAAATGGACATTGGGAGAATAGGAGAATTAGAATTGGACATACTTAACTCATATCTGTTTAATACGTGATGTTTAGGCTTTGTGGACTGTATATTCGCGTCATGAAATTTTGACAAATCTATATCTGATAGTTTAACAGATGACGCTACAGATTGAATTGATGTTGGAACAACTCGGGTTGCTGTTATTATTTGCTTCTTAAGTAATTCAAACGCATTAATTAAACATTTAAAAATCTAGGTTCTTTTAACAAATCTTCATCTTTATCTAATAGTTCCAATTTCGATTGAATAATTTTAAATTGTTCAAAAGCATTTTCTATTGCCTTTAACCTAAATTCTATTTCGATAAGCACCTTAATTATTTTTGTCTGTTAAGAATTTTTCGAATCGCGTCAGATTTACTTTAAAAATCCCCCTTTCATGTTTAATTTTAGTTATTTCCTTTTCATATTCAGTCATTTCAATAATGAAGTGAAATTAGATTAATTAACGTGATTAAATTCTATGTGGTATTACTACTGATAACGAGTGAATAATATACCGAAACAAGTCCACCACCTAAGTAGGAAAATGACGAGAAAAGCGAATGGAGACTTATAGAGTAAAGAAATGAAGGAACCGACTCACTTAGTCTGTGTTCGCCATGAATTGAAGATATTGTAGACTGGTATGTTAGCATTTTTCGTACCTGCACATATTCTGCTTCTGCTTGGTATCTATCGGTCGTGAATATCTATCCGGTTCGAAGGACCAAAAAAAAGAGATGTTTAGGCTTTGTGGACTGTATATTCGTGTGGTGGATTCAAAATTCTCGTGAAATCTCCAAATTTAATTCATAATATCTATATGACAATTCCTATTTTTGTGACATACAAATCCATAACTACTATAATTGAAGTGGCGTGCAATATAACTTATTCCAGCATACATTTACATATTCAATTAAACAATTTCTACTTTATCAAATGTGACGACCCACCACTTTGCTTGTACTATAAAAAGTCCACTCTGAAGCATATTCTTGAGTAGTGTAGTTTTTATAAAGAAAATTGTATCTCCAATTACCCACCACTTTGCTTGTACTATAAAAAGTCCACTCTGAAGCATATTCTTGAGTAGTGTAGTTTTTATAAAGAAAATTGTATCTCCAATTACAATGAAATATTTGACAGTATGATTTTTGGCTACGCTATTTAAAACTACATATCAAAGCTACAATTTCCAATACGCAAATAATTTTATATCTAAAAGGCCAACGAAAATGTAGATTAAGCGCTTCTACTATACTTGAATTTTTAATTAATCACCCCGGTATTATTAATGCCTCATTGATTGGTGAGATATATAAATAAATAAATGATTTCACTTATTTTTAGTTCGTTTATTCGTGTGTATGAGCGTTTTGTGTGTACAGCTGGTCAAAAGATGTAAATAAACGTTTTTAAAATATCCAATTAAGGCGACTGGTGGTTTCGTTTATTAGTATCGTCCACGATATGCGTTATTAAAACTGGTCTTAACGGTTAGCTTTTCGTCAACTGTGGTCCTCGGACGTTTTTTACTTTATTGTCGACCAAATTGAATTAAAGAAACGCTTTTAAATTTTATCGATATGCAACCAATACTAATTAAGCGCGGTTCAAAAGTAAAAAATAAATATATCTTTATATTGCATTTTTATTTTTTTTTACTGCCAAACACCTAATGTTATTTTGTATTTTAGATCATATATAAAGGCAAGATGACCACATTTAAAACTTACAATATATACATTGCTAGAAGATCGTCTTATCGGTTTAGCTGTATTGTGTGTCCATCAAAATAGAGAATTAGATAAAGACGAAATCGTAAATCGATTTTCAAATAAAAGTATAAGCAAAAAAAAAACAAAATCCAAACCACACAATAATATTTTATTGAAAAAACTTAAGCAACCGATTTTGGTTTAGAAGCCATCATCAATATGAACAAAGTAAATGATTGGTAAAGTAATGATTTTAGGTCAAATTAAATTAATGGGATTCGTTAAAATTTGTAAAAAAAAAATTAAATATTAGAATTATAGATAGTACGGTTTATAAGTAAGATTTATAAATATATTTATGAAGTTCTTTAAACTCCTACATATCAATGATATGATACTATAAATAGAAGGTATGATATTACGCAGATTGATACTATATTTCAGGGTGACGTAATGTGGGGGAAGGCGTGGATTTTACGAATTTGAAGTATGACTGATTGAAAATAACGCACGAAAACAAATTTCAATCCGCTCATGGCCAATCAGACCATATTCCACATCACAATGCGTCATGCGCGAACTCGACGAGATTTCGTCGTCTAAGTATAATACCTCTCTTTTTTGTATCATGTAAAACACTACAGGTAATAGATATTACATATAAACTGTACTATCTATTAATTCTTATATTTTCTTTCCTGTAACCAGTAAAGAACGTATTATAAGAATCACTATTTTTTTCGATCTCTAGTTTACGACGGATATTTATGTTTTTCTACATCCACATGGATTGGCTTATCTACGCACAGATTATAAAACGAAAGAGTATGCTTTTGCCTTTAACTGAACGAATGTATTTCATATCCATTCTAGGTAGTGAGAACATTGCAAAAAAATTAAATCCACCAATCACCGTTCATATTTTAATCAATTAAAGAAATTTAAAGAAATTTGAAGAAATTTGAAGAAATTTGAAGAAATTTGAAGAAATTTGAAGAAATTTGAAGAAATTTGAAGAAATTTGAAGAAATTTGAAGAAATTTGAAGAAATTTGAAGAAATTTGAAGAAATTTGAAGAAATTTGAAGAAATTTGAAGAAATTTGAAGAAATTTGAAGAAATTTGAAGAAATTTGAAGAAATTTGAAGAAATTTGAAGAAATTTGAAGAAATTTGAAGAAATTTGAAGAAATTTGAAAAAATTTGAAAAAATTTGAAGAAATTTGAAGAAATTTGAAGAAATTTGAAAAAATTTGAAGAAATTTTGAAGGAATTTTGAAGAAATTTTGAAGAAATTTTGAAGAAATTTGAAGAAATTTGAAGAAATTTGAAGAAATTTGAAGAAATTTGAAGAAATTTGAAGAAATTTGAAGAAATTTGAAGAAATTTGAAGAAATTTGAAGAAATTTGAAGAAATTTGAAGAAATTTGAAGAAATTTGAAGAAATTTGAAGAAATTTGAAGAAATTTGAAGAAATTTGAAGAAATTTGAAGAAATTTGAAGAAATTTTAAGAAATTTTAAGAAATTTTAAGAAATTTTAAGAAATTTTAAGAAATTTTAAGAAATTTTAAGAAATTTTAAGAAATTTTAAGAAATTTTAAGAAATTTTAAGAAATTTTAAGAAATTTTAAGAAATTTTAAGAAATTTTAAGAAATTTTAAGAAATTTTAAGAAATTTTAAGAAATTTTAAGAAATTTTAAGAAATTTTAAGAAATTTTAAGAAATTTTAAGAAATTTTAAGAAATTTTAAGAAATTTTAAGAAATTTTAAGAAATTTTAAGAAATTTTAAGAAATTTTAAGAAATTTTAAGAAATTTTAAGAAATTTTAAGAAATTTTAAGAAATTTTAAGAAATTTTAAGAAATTTTAAGAAATTTTAAGAAATTTTAAGAAATTTTAAGAAATTTTAAGAAATTTTAAGAAATTTTAAGAAATTTTAAGAAATTTTAAGAAATTTTAAGAAATTTAGGCATTTCAGGGCATTTGATGGCATTTGATGGCATTTGATGGCATTTGATGGCATTTGATGGCATTTGATGGCATTTGATGGCATTTGATGGCATTTGATGGCAGTTGATGGCATTTGATGGCATTTGATGGCATTTGATGGCATTTGAAGGCATTTGAAGAAAGTTAAAGAAAAGTGGAAAATTTTAATTTTTTTACTAATATTATTGGCAATGAAGATATGATATAGTATATTACATTACGAGTGTGGAAATTGAATTTTTTACACGAGTGAAAAATATTGTCTTACGAGTGCGACCATCTCACGAGTGTGATAAATCACTTTTACACGAGCAATGCACACTATTTTTCCTACGACTACGAAATAGTTTTATAAAAAAAGTTAAATTAGAAAATATTGCTATAAAGCTTCAATCAAGATGCGACTGGTTTTAGATTTCTTTGAATAATTTTTTACAGATGGTGTTTTGTCAAAATTAAAAACGTTGTTTCCTTTTACAAACACTTTCATAGGATAATAATAATAAAAAAAAAAAAATAACAGGCACAAAAAATATTAGAATCCAATAATGTTTTACATTAGTTTATTTAAAAAATATCAAACAATGAGATAGTAATAGTAAACAAGAACATTTTTATTATTAAATATGATTACCCTATTATCTATTCAATTTTTTTCTCAAGCATAATCAAAACAGTACAAAATTAATAGCGAAAAGATTACCTGTAGGGGTTTAATTATAATAAATAAAGTATATTTAAAATTAATATACAACAGTAGTCGTATTTTTTTAATATTCATAGTTTTCCAAAATAAAAAAGAATGCTTTTATCGGGAATTGAGTCCGGCCGCGACATGATCGTGACATGCCCAGTTGAAAAATTTGAACGTTCTACGAACTGAGCTATCAGGATTATGTCACTTGAATTATCAAATCAAATATTATGTAAATAAACCTGGAAAAAACAAAAATATTGTAATTATTTTAATAATTTTTTAAAAATAAATATCTAGGATTAGAGTATTAAAAGTAATAATATCAATTTAATCATCAAATTGATTTTGCTATTAAAATGAAAATTACATAAATCAAGATAGAAGTTATGCCATATTTGACAGCTTATGAGGAAAATAGATTCATAATCACAAAAAGGCGAAAAGTAGATTCTTATTCACGTGTGTGTTCCATATCACTTTCCATAAGACTAAATAGCGCGACATGTGTCATTTTCCTAAGTGGTCGTAGGAATAAGTATTTCGAATAAAATATGTGTGGAAAATTCTCATCATTAATTCATATAAAAATTCATTTGTGTAGATGGGCCGTCTTTAATATATTGGATAACTGTGCAGGAAAGTTAATTAATTCCACATAACTTTACCAATCATTTAATTTGTTTACTACAGTTTAAAACCCACTACGCAAGCAGGTACTACTGCTTAGATTAATAATTTAATTAATCGGATTATATCACTCATAATGTAATATTGTCCTATACTGTTACTTGATTAATAATCGATAATCAACCACCATGTAGTGACTATACTGATAATCACACTTGGTACTTTTAATGCTAAAAATCTAGTAGGTATCCTTGTCATTGTTGACAAAAAGTATAAATGAAAATATAAGATTCCAAAATAATTTGTACTAAAACGATTTGTCTAAAAATAATTTGTCCAAAAATAATTTTTACTAATTAAATATAACAAAAACAATCTTGTAAATTAGTTATTATCTCGCAAACAAATCTTTGCAGAAAATATTTCTCACAAGATCTGAATAAACAAACATTATTTATGTACAATCCAAAATATTTTCTTTTATTTAACCTAAAATACGTATTAAAGCTAAAAATAATTTCTAGTTAAAATGCTTTATTTAAATACCGACTTCCGGTTTTTTTTTATGATTTTTTGATCGGTCTACTTAACGATAAAAAAGGTGCACGAAATAGCGAAAAACGTTATAAAACTTTTATTACTACATCTTAATTCCGATGACCCGGTTTTTCGGTCTTAATTTTTTACTTTAATATATAAATATTGAGCGCCAGTTTTTACGAGCACAATAAAAATATAAAAATGAGGAGTTCTTTCGGCTCATAGGTGTGAAATATTGTTTACACCTACCTACCTACCTACCTTTGGAATCTAGAATCTACATATAACGCGTATCGTAAAATTTTTTATTCATCGTAAAATCCCTGCTGAAAGTCACTGAACCAAGTTTTTCGTTTCTAATTCTAGCAAGCAGTAGTCGTGGAATTTTATTATGTGTTCTCGCGGCTGTAAAAAATCCATAAAAACATTAATTGGGTATTTTGTCTAATGAAATTCGAAGATTTTTATAAATTTTGCTTTTAATACCGAAACTATACGCAGTTATATGCATATAGTTTACTCAGATTTCAGATTTAATAGGCTAAAAACATTTTTAACAAATCAGTTTTTTATTTATTTAAAACAATATCTCATAATTAAGTAGTTATCAAGTTATCAATAAAAATGTTTATTCTTGTATGTATAAAGGAATTTAAATCTAATAGTTACAAACTAAGACAGGACTGGAATAAAAAAAGAAAAAAAAAACAGATGCATTCCTTTTCGTCTTTATAAATGACTAAACAAATTTATTTGACAAGAAAATACTTCTAGTAGATGTAATGTTGCAACTAAAAATATATAGGAAACTATATTTCGGCCTCGTCTCATAAATAATCTTCTTACCCAAACCAGAGTCTTTAAACTTACAACCAATTCAGGAAAGATAAAATTTATAAAATTTTCAATTTAATGTTCGACAATTTAAATGAAAAAATAATATAAAAATCAATCAAAATCCGACAGTACTCAGAGACTAATTACACAAGTTTACAAAAAAAAGTCCGAACTATTTGACCACACCATGGTACTCCTAGATATTTTGGCGTCCTTAATCCAATCCCGGAGTTAGTTGTGCCCCATCACGTCAGAAAAACCAAATTTCAACGTCATTTAGAGGTCAAAATGGTGATTTTTTTTTGAACTGGTTCCGGGACAATTTCTCAAGCTGTCTGTTAAGTTGAGGGATAACGGTGTAGGTCTTTAATACCTTTCAAACATGGGAAACGGTCCCCAAATCTCGACCAGGGCCAGCGCAGCACCAGCCATATGGATAAAATGTTGTCATGATCGTTGTATCTCGCGAATTTCGATCTCCCTGCCAAGGTGTTCAATTACGCCGATCCATTTGCTGTGAGATAATGCCAGTGGATCCAGCACTGACCCAAATGGCCCTAGAACATTGCCAGAACATTGGAGTGGACCTTCAAGCTCATCAAACATCCAACGGCTTTATAGTTCTGGAGCAAACCCTCCATCAATTCCATATAGTTTGGGTCTTTAGTATTTCCAAGAAATTTCTGAGTAACATTCACAAAGCTCTTCCATGCTTCTTCCTCATTTACCGCCATCTTCTTCGGGAATTCTGTATCTTTTATAAGTTCTCGTATTTGCGGCCCAGTGAAAATACCTTCTTTGATTTTAGCACCTGACAACTTTGGGAATTTCTGGTAGATATATTGGAAGGATTCGTTACTTCTTTTTTTAAGAGCCTTGACGAATTGTTTTATCAACCCCAATTTAATATGGAGAGAAGGTAGTGAAATACTTTTGGGATCCACTAATTTCACTTGTTCTTCTGACCCACAACAAAATTGTCCTTTGATGGCCAAACCTTCCTTTGGTAATGCTCATCACGAGCTTGACTGTCCCATGCACATAAAGAACAAGGGTATTTTGTAAATTCACTCTGTTGTCCCATAAGTATTGTTACCACCTTCAAATCCGTACATATTTTCCATTTGTTTCCAATGTTCTAGGGCCATGTGGGTCAGTGCTGGATCCACTGGCATTATCTCACAGCAAATGGATCGCCGTAATTGAACACCTTGGCAGGGAGATCGAAATTCGCGAGATAAAACCATCATGGTAACACTTTACACACTGGGCTGTCCTTGCGCTGATCCTGGTCGAGATTCATGGCCCCTGTCCGATGTTTGGAAGGTATTCACGACCTAGACAGTTACCCCTCAACTTAACAGATCGCTTGAGAAATTGTTCTGGGGCCGGTTCCGAAAAAGCAATTTTAACCTCTAAATGACCTTTAAATCTGGGTTTTCTGACGTGATGGTGCAAAACTGACCCCGGGATCGGATTTAGGATGCCAGAATACCTAGGAATACCATAGGCCGTCTAATAGTCCGGACTTTTTTTGTAAACCTGTGTTATCCATTTTAAATCTCCAAATAATCAATCTAAAATAGAAGACTATAAAATAGTAGCAATAATAATAATAAAATAAACATTTTCAGGGTCTTAATAAATATGCATACAGGGTGTTTCCGAAATTGGCGACCAAATTTGTAGGGGTGGTAGTTCGCATAATTTGAGACCGATTCGCAGATTTCATTTTTCCAAAATATTTAAAATAAAAATAATTAAAAATTATAAACAGGTACGGTCCTGCACAGCGGTAGGACCGACTCGACTCGCGCGTGCTACTCTTAGAATCGACAAAATTGCAAATCGCATCTGTTTTTGAGGACTATTGCGCTACGCGCTCAGGGTAGGACCTGCTCTTTGATTTTTTTTACAATGGCTCTATTTTATTTATTATAATTTTTTGTAAAAATGAAATCTGCCAATCACTCTCAAATTATGCGAACTACCACCCTTACAAATTTGGACGCCAAGCTCGGAAACACCCTGTATTTCTCCAAATTCGAGGGTATGCTGTACCAGTCTCTTCTCTTGTATAAATTGTGTCAAGAGAATGTTTACTAAACGTATGAATCCAATATTAAAGAAGTTCGTTAAATCTTTTAATTTGTTTCTAATATTTTTCTCTTTGTTGCAGATTCCAAAGATTCCGGCACAGCTTCGAGTGAAGACGGCGACCGACCGCCACATTCGCGTCTAGCCGCTGACACTGCCAGCGAGTGGAGTGAGTCTAGACACGATAGCGGTCCAGATAGTCCGGAAATATACGAACGACCACCACACCCTGCCTTCTTACCGCCTAGATCATCAGGTTCCCCTCCCCAACTGTCAGCTTCGGTCGTTTCGAAACCCCGAATCTGGTCCCTAGCGGATATGGCCAGCAAAGAAAGCGACGGTAGCCCTCATTCCGCGGCTTCGAGTATATATTCGACCGCAGCTGCGCGTTTGGTACCTCCGTTAGGTACTAGATTACCCCCTCCAGGGCTGCATACGGCTCCATACGCGAGACCACATGATTTTTACCGAAGCTTGTACAGTCCAGCAGCTGCGCAGCATCTAGCAGCTGCTAGCGGTGGATCACCCGATGCTACTTTACTGGAAACTTACCAAAGAACTCTGGGAGCCAATTTGATGGCTGCGCAATCGACAGCTTCCGTATTTACCAAAGCTTCGGCTACTTCTAGCTCCAGTAACTTGCCGTTGGGGTTGACCACGTCGTCGAGGATGTCGCCGTCTTCGACTTCTTCGTTGTCGTCTGGTTCGGAGACACCGATCAAACCGGTGGCATTGAACAAAGCCTGACCTCCTTTGGTGTCGACCGGGTTGTGGTCATGATCTACCTCTGTGCAAAAGTAATGTGGGACAATAACGGACACGTGGTTTATGTGTTAGGGGTGGTGTTGTGTGCGAGGGTGGTTTGGATGGGGAAAGTGTCTTTCGAATTTTGAATTAATGGAAGTCAGAAGTAAAAAGTTAAGTTTCCACATACATTCGTGAAATATAAACTAAATCGAGAAAGTAAATCCAACCTTTAAAACTGTGGTCAATCCTATGTGAGATAAATGAAATACAATCATAATTTCAATAATTATTATTTGGCGATAGGTTTCGGCCGTATAGCCTGTAAGTTAAAAAAAAAATTGTTTTAAAATAAAAAAGAATGTTTTTTAAACTTAAGAAAATGGCTATACAGCCGAAATCGGTCGATGAATTATTATTAGATTTTGAATTTTATTTATATCAAATTAAAAAAAAGGTTAATTTATGTGCTGGTACGAAAACCGGTACTGTTCTTTTTTACTTTCTACTAGGAAAATTTCTTAACCCTTAACTGGTATATAGGGGACCACTTTTTAAATGGAATGTATTGGGAGGAATTAACTAAAAGAGAGGCTCTAATATTAATTTAGAATTTTGTAGTGAGAAAAGTTATTTTTTTAGAACAGCTGAAATGGGAAATTTTTAACTGGCGTTTCAGTCTAAACCTTTTGTCCGAGAAAGAACATAAACATCGACGTTTGTAGGAAATTTTATGTACTTTTATTTTAAATATGAAGCTTACTTATGAGAAGTTGATACTTTTCGAAATATAACCAAAAAACCGCAAAAATTAAATTTTTGTACATATTTCTATTTTTTTTTTAATGTTGTGTTAATAAACCTTGGATATAGCACCAAAAAAAAACTTGTAGAATGGAAGAAATCAAAACTACCCCACTTTTAAAACAGGGACCTTTTTGAGCACAAACTGTATTTTGAAGAAACAAGCTTATATTTTAGTAAATCATTTTTAGAGTGGCCACCTTGTATACGATTTTTGGGCAGCGCTTTAATAATGAAAGAGTAATCAGTATTTCTTTATACACTTACCATCTGAGTGACTAACTTTAATTGATTCTGAAAGACAACTTTCCCTCTATATCACCGTGAGATATCGAAAATTCGACCACCCTTATAACATATAGTGCTGTACAGTAAATGTGATATATACCTTTTGGTTCCTTAGTTTTACGGCACCCAGAACATTCGCCTTAGTTATTGTATTATTATTATTATTATAATTATATAGGGTATCCCAAAAATTTTTTTAAAAATAAAAAAAAGTTTAATGTTACATTTCACAAAAAAAAATATTCTTGATAAAAATGTTTTTGCAATAGTTGTAAATCCATAAACAGCATGAAATTTGTAAAATAAAAAATTCCATTTGATATTTTAATTAATATTTTTGCTCTATATTGAAATTTAAAAAATATTTCGCACTTCCTCATAAATAAACATTTTTATTTTCCCTGTATACCATCTATATTTTACAAAATTTTATTAAGTATACCCAAGTGATACATAACTTTTTATCAAGATTCTTTTTTTTTATAAAATGTAGAATAATTTTTTCCATTTGTATGAAATTTTTGGGACATTCTGTATAATAAATATTTTGTCGAAAATGTGTAAATATAGACTGCGTCATCGCAGCAGTATAAAAAATCTTGTATCTATGTACGTACCTTATTTTAGCGTATAGAAATTGTAAGTAAAAAATATTTGTTATTAAAAAAAAATGTGTAATAAATACTAAGGATAATCTACTTAAAATGGATCGAAAGATCTTATACATAAATAATTGGAAGTTTAGCCATTTCATTGTACTAAATTTTTGTTCAGTACGCGTTTTGTGTGTCAGAATGCGAGACAGACATATCTTTTTATTTTGAACATTGTTTTTTATTCCAACTTATTGAAGCGCGTACTGGCACTGCAATAAAATGATTCGTTCATTATTAATTTTGTTGTTTTATTTATACAAATCACCATTTAACCTATATAAACATTCAAACACAGATGACCACAATATTGAAGTAGTACTAAGTTTAAAATTCACCACTCTTAATTTTGGTCCTTCGAGCCGGATACAGAAAACAATATTTAGAAGTTCTTAGTCCAATATTTACATTTGTATATTTATAAATGTGTATTCATTAAAACAATAAACTTTTATACTATTTTCCTGATCATTAAAGTAAAAAAAGGACTTTTTTACATTGTATAACATTATATTTTAAAGTAGTGTTATGAAAATGTATTACTTGATGAACTAGTTGAGAGATATAAACAGTTTGGTCGATTGTGATTATTGACGAGACCCGAAAAAAAGTCATTTTGGAAGAATTTAATGAACTTTGTGGAAAAATCTTTATCTAACAATATGTGCAAATATGTAAATGTTTATAATTTTCAAAAAATCTTACCTTAAAAATCGAATGTGTAGAAAATTTGAATTCTGGACTTACCTAAAACAAATAAAAATCAAAAGTAGTTATTTATATACAGCTATCCAGCGATGGGGAACACACTATATCTGACAAACTAATGGACGGATTTTGTTAAAAATTGGTAAGAAGAGTAAACAAGTGATTATATTTTTCACACAGTAGTCTACGAAATATAAAAAAAATCCTATCTCAGAAACAAAACACGATATCAAATTGAAATCTTCAGAAAAAATCAAGCTTCATAAGAGGATGAAGCCTATAGAAAATAGGGGATGATGGGATATGTTAAACTGTGAAGAGTAATATAAAATGTCAAGCATTATATTTCTTAATTTCAGTTATTTTCTTTATTTGTACATAGTCGATAGTATATGGGCTTAAACAAGGATGAATCAAGAATGAATATTTCATATAGGGCAGTGTTAAAGGAAGTTCAATTATTTTGTATCTATTAATTACAAGTAATTGACAATACTATTCAATTTTAAGGTTTTATTGTAAATGATAATAATTCCTCTGTTTCGTTTAATTACACGGATTTATTAACCCTGAGTTGATACTTTAATATTTTAAAGACAATAAAAAAGTATTATTTATATATAAAAAAAGATTATATACGAGCCCATATAAGAATATCAAAGGTAAGTGACTAAACAAATAAATCAAAAATTTTTTCTTATCATATTATCTCAGATCAAACTCATTTTAATATATTTGTCTAGCCAGGTATCTAGGTAAATGGAAAACTAGCCTAAGGATAAGATTTAGTTCAAGGAGACTTTTAAATAGAACAATCTGTATTATAAAAAATCCAGACATTTTGATGATGTTATCAATTGCATAAGAAAAGGTTTTTTATACCTGTTCGAGAATAACCAAACAGATTTTTTTTCTTAATTAATCTATCTACTAAAAAATGTTAAAAACAAAAATATATCATCAAAATATCACTGGACCAAGTACACTTCCTTGCAGTACTCCTGCTTTTATTTGTTTTAGTTCAGAGTATTCAGTTTTTTCGTTTCATTTAGCATATTGTTTTTGGAAAAACGTTATTAATTTTTTTTAATAGGAACTTTATCATATACTTTTTTACTTTCCTATCTGTATACAATATAAGGAAAGTATAGGAATCATGGTTTTTTTCGACCTCGAGTTTTCGACGGTCTGTCTGTGTCTGTGTGTCTGTATGTCGCATAACTCATGAACCAATACACAGAAAAACACCAAATTTTAAACTTAAGCTTTATTCCAGCGTCTAATGAACTGATTAGATTTTGGGCAGAGTCGGAACATCTGGGGGGGGGTACTTTATGGGTGGTCATTTTTATATTTGATGGAATATATCTGTTATTTACGTTTGGAGATGAAAATTCTTCAAATAAAAGTCACTTCTAATATAATTATATATAATTTCTGTCCTATACAAAATTTTCCTAAAATGGTCCGTATTCGAGAAATTTGACAAAATGTAAAAAAAATAATTTTTTATAAAAATTGTTCAAATAAAAGTTGTTTGTAATATAATTCTCTATAATTTTTATTTTATACATAATTTCTCTAAAATGGACCGTATTCGAGATATTTGAGAAAATGTGTAAATTTCGAATTTTGAAGAAAACTCAAAAACGGATAAAGAAAAAAACATTAAATTTTAAACTTAAGGTTTATTTCGGCCTGACGTGAAATGATTAGATTTTGGACAAAGTCGGAACATCTGGGGGGGGGGGGGGGTACTTTATTGAAGGCCGTTTTTATATTTTATGGAATATATCTGTTATTTATGTTTGGAGAAGAAAATTGTTCAAATAAAAGTTAATTCTAATATTATTATCTAAAATTTTTGTTTTACGTCAAAATTTCCTGAAATGGTCCGTATTCGAGAAATTTGACAAAATGTGCAAAATTCTGATTTTTACGAAAATTGTTGAACTAAAAGTTGTTTGCGATATCGATCTCTATAATTTTTGTTTTTACATGATTTTTCTAAAATGGCCGTAATGGAAAAGTGTTAAATTTAAATTTTTCAGTATTTTCGTTTTCAATGAATATCTATAGAAAAATGTTTCGAGGTAAATGTATGTGAACAATGTATATATTTAGTTTATCCTCTAAACATTTATAGAGATGCTGCAATAGGTTGTACAAAATATCCGGAAAAAGCCTATAATAACTAGATAGGAAAGTCATGTATTGGACACATCAGATTTTTTTTATTAAATTTGTGATTATCTGTACATACCTGATCTATTGTACAAATTGTTGTTTCTTTATGAGTATTTTTCTTTTAGTAATAGTCTAAAGTATCTTCAAAAATAGCTTTTCGAAGGGTTTTGAAATTACTAACAAGATAGAGATTTGACTATAAGACTTGTGTGTTTTTAATATACTTATACATGTAATTTTTGGAGGCTAGCTACAGAAATATTCAGGTCGAACAAAATTAGATGGGCTACAAATAAATTTCAGCCATACAAATCCCAAGAGTAGATTGAATATATCCCATTCTCCTACAAGGACAGGGATTTTTAATTCCACATGTGTGTCGCATATTTAAAGCATGTATAGTCTGATTAAATACACCAGGGGCATGGCAAAATGTGAAAGTCATTTACCTTCCTAAAGTAGGAATTATATGACACCAAAGGACCAAAGTACCAAAGTCGTACCGCCCGATCGGTCCATCGTAATTCATGCTGAAAACGCTAGAAAGACTAATAGACATGAAATACTGAGAGGAAATCCTCTCAGCGACCGTCAATATGCATATGGGCCAGGAAAGTCAACCGATTTGGCCCTGAACGATCTCAGCAGGCTATTGTCAAAATCCCTGGAGAATGAAGGAATGGCAGTAACAACATTCGTAGACATTAAGGGAGCTTCTAATAATGCCCAAACAAGATCTATAATTAACGCACTAGTAATGAACCAGTAATCCTGTGTCAGTGGATAAAAGCCAGCCTAGAAAAAAGGGTAATATCATCTCTAGGCAAAGATAGAGTGACGGCAAAAGTAGGCAGAGGCTGCTTCCAGGGAGGACCACTATCGCCCCTCCTCCTCTGGTCAGTCCTAGTGGACGATCTCATAAAAAGGCTAATATCCGCAGACTACCGCTCTAAACATTGCTGACGAGTGGTGCAGAGAGGAGAAACTAACAGTAAACCCTCACAAAACCACAATAGTCAACTACACAGAACGAAAAGTACTGACAGGACTAAAGTCACCAGTAATGAAAGTAGTGAAGATTTCATTTGCTCGAAAGGTCAAATATTTTGAGCACAGGTTGACATGGAATTAACACTTACAAAAAATCACCCAAAAGAGGACAACTTCTTTCAACTTATGTCGAAGGTAGTGTGAAAAAAATTGGGGGCTAAAACCGAAAATGTCCCTATGGCTAGATAACAGAGTCATGAGGCCGATGATAACCAACGGGTCGGTGGTATGGTGGCCAAAGACTCGGCAAGCTGGAGCCATTCGACAGCTCAATGGTATTCAAAGGAAAGCATGCCTGAGTGCCACGGGAGCCATGAGAACAACTCCAACAGCAGCTATAGAAGTTATGCTAAACCAAACACCACTACATATATTAATTCAAGTCGAAGCCAGGTCTAACACACAGACTGCACAAAGATCACTTACAAGTAGTTTGTATGGGCATGATTACAGTGAGATATATAAAGAGTTGGAGAACGATCAAATAATGGGAATGCTTTCGGACCAAATGCTCCCAAAATATAGCTTTCAAAAGCAATATAAACTAAGTATACCAGACAGGCAAGCGTGAAGATTTAGGCATCAACGACTGAGACTTAGCTGTGTTGATTGGATGTTCGAGGATGCTGTCGATCATTTCAGGCCCCAGAAGAAGGTTACAGATGTCTGGTTGACTATAACGGCGGTGTTCTACAGCTCCACGGCTATTCTACTACTTGAACACCTTCATCCATTCTATCCCCGTTGTAACCGCTTTACCTCTTTATTTCGAGGTATCTATCCTCTTTGTTGTAACCGCTTTACCTCTTTGTTTCGAGGTATCTATCCTGTTTGATACGGCTTTAGCTCGGTACCTCTTTGTTAAAGGAAAAAAACACAGTGTCAGTCACTTATATAAACAAAAAACTTTTTCATCTCTTAACATGTGTAGAAAGTACCAAAATAGTTACATTTAATATAAATCAATTATTAACATTACAGCGATTAATTAGATTCTTGTTAGCTATATAAAAACGAAAAAGCATTTTAATGTTATTCAACCTAAAAACAATTCGTGAAACTCACGTAATAATCTACAAACGAGATGCTAAACCTGTAATCACTTATCAAGCAATTTTAAATAACCAAATATATTAAATAATTAACTTTGGTCACCGAATACAGACACAAAACGAATTAATATCAGCTGGTTCTAGTTGAGTAAGAAAAGAGCGACTCGCCACGAAAGAATACTTAACTGCTTCTTTCAATCGTCTGACCGCGCAAGACCCAAATTATTGATTTTAACCTCCTACA